AAAATTATATTATTAAACCAAATATAAATTAATTCGTTATTATATCTAAATTAAATTATAATAAAAAACAAAATCAAAGAAACTACACAAAAAATAAGAACTTTTAAATAGTTAATTTGATACTAATATTGATATATTTGTTTTTGAAATTTTATGATATCTTCAAATTTATATTTTATTCAAAAATAAAAATATTAGTTCTTTCTCAAAACAATATAAAACCCGTGTTAAAACATCTACAGAGAGGGAATAAAACAAAATATTTAAAAATCGAGATATATTCCGCTGCATTGCCCGAGTACTCTTCTAGTAAGTATAAAAAGGACGAAGCATGCTTTAGAACATATTGAATCTTCTAAAACGATAGCCTAGTCTTTGAGGCGTGGGACATATAATATTTTGTTTATTTATATGACAATTAATATACTTATATAAATAGAGACACATTATGTGACAATGGTTGTTGGTTGTTGGACTGATTGGTTGATTCGGTTCATTCTCTCTATATTTCACACACTCCTTTCGCTCTTCAAAGGAGTTGGAAATTGTATATAGCATCCAAGAAGAAAGAGAATATTCTCTCTTAGCTTAGAACATTAATTGGATTTAGTACATTTGCATGGATACCTTGGAGGCAATGTTGTGTGTTCATTGGTTTAGATTCAGAAACAACATCAACAGGTTGCTCAGCCAATTTTGGTAAATTTCGAAGCACCCACCCTTTCCATTTCGTATGGATTCTTGAAATAAAATGGTTATTTACGTTGAATGTATGGCTTCTGTATTCCTGCAAGTTCCACCAAGCACATAACTCCTAAATGTAACTTTTCGTTATAGTTGAGATAAGTTTATCGAACCTTGCCAATTAGCTTCTGGAGATCGGATTCTCACTACCAGTCCAAGTGGGAATTCTTCTAAGAAWGCCCCTTCTTCTAGTCTTTATCTTGAATCTTTCTTATTGTCTTTCCCTTTCATCTTGATATCAACTCTGACATTAACAAAGCATCGGGCGGGGAAGCTTTCAATATTATGATGAAAGATACTATCGGAGAAGGTCCCACTCTGCTTGCGTCCGCTAGCTGACGACGTGTGTAACGCATGCTCCTGTTCCGYGGTTGGTGTTATATATAGAAGTTCTTGGTTGAGAGTATCGGGTCTTCAATTAGGGMTGATCTCCTCAACGCATCCGTTGTTCTATCATCTGTTGTTGTTGGTCTTGTTGTCGCAAACGCTGCAACACGTATGCAAAATGTGGCTTTCAAGTATGCTTGGCAAAGACCCATGATTTAAGTTGTGGTTACAGTTGGTTGCAACTTACAACATCGAAGAAAATCAATAATCTAAAAACGGCTGTTGTTGATCCTCTCTCTCAGTGATTTGATGATGATCTATTTTTATCTATCGAAGTGTATTATCTCTGTATTTAGTTTCAACAATCATCACTGAGTTTATTCAGTGATCGCTGAATATGTATTGTAATTCCTTAGAGACCAATATATTTCTACTTCAAGAAGACAAAACTCACATCACAGATTCTTCAGCAATATGAAAGCCGAAGCTGAAGATTAGAGACCAACAAGTTCGTGATCTGAAGTGGTTTTCAGTGATAGCAAGCTTGTCTACACAAGTTTGAAGTCTGCGCAAGATTCACCGAACACTAATGAGACCTTCAGCATCATTTCAGTGTTCAGCGATCAAATGAATCTTGTCGAGCAAGATTAGATTTTGTCTCATCCTTTTGCACATAAATGACAAACCCATACCTTTCTAAGTATAGTACAGTACGAAGTCACTCCTTTGACTCTAAACGGACTTGCCTACTTTATGAAAAAAGACTGTTCATATACAGCCAAAAGGACTGTATACTGTAACAAAGGACAAATTTTCATCTAAAAGCTTGTCACGTGCCCTGTACCTTCTTAATTGCATTTAATGCAATGAGTATAAATAGCTAATTAGTTCTTCTCTCAATTATCATCTTCCTCACTCTAAACTTACCCAAGAAGTTATTTCTCTCTCTACTCTTTGTCTAAGAGAAATACTCACATTAACAATTGAATGAATAACACATTTCTTCTTACCTTATTTCTTGTAGCAAGTCTTTTCTTATTGTTATCTGTAATTTTGTGTGTATCTTAGATTGTTTAGATAGATTATGTATCATATCTCTTCCGCAAACAATCTGTAAAATTTGTATTGATCTTATTTATCAATATATAATTTTTAAGTGAAAGTTACTGTGTTTGTATTCATTTCCTCCCTCTACAAATTGTTACCTATAAACTCTTGTAGATCCGGCTGGGACCAACAGTTGTCGTAAGTTTTTAGTTTGACATGGTGACAGGAGAACAGATTGGGGGAGGGGGGATGTGATAAGAAATAATAAATGAAATTCACAACCCA